GTGGTTTGATCAGTAGTTCTGATGCCAGTAGATCAAACCTTTGATGTCCCACTGATGTTAAAATAATGAAAGCTGAATATGTAGAAATCAAATAAACAACTTAAAGTTAAACTGTTGCCTTTGAAAATGAGGGTAAATGTGGTAGAAAGTGTCATTTTTTCATACTCATTTTGCTTGTTTTTTGTAGCTACAAAAAGACAATCAAGGATTTGATTGTTTTAAATGAGCATTAGACACAAATAAATGAAAGATAAACTCATTAACTAGGTGAAGTTTATTGTTCAAAACGAACTTAAAGACAGACAAAGAGACAGGCCTGTACAACTCACCCACCGATCTAATCAAGTCCAGTCACCTCTGCATGACTGAAACGTGTCCTTTCAGCTCTGGAAATCCGAACACTTTCACACACCACAGGCAGAATAATAAATGAACTGTAGATACACTGATCACATCGCGGGCTCCTCGGCTCTCACATGTTTGTCTTTGCAGTGTGAACAGACTAAGCCCCTCTACTCAGCTGTCATAATTTGTTAACGAGTCTTTTCAGGGAGGGAAAAAAGAAAAAGAGAAGACAGAAAAAGAAAAGAAAGCTCTTCACGAGTGACTGAAAGCAGAGGTCCATCCAGAGAGGGAACCCAGGGGCGACATCAGACCGATTTCAGACCAGCCCGTGATGGCATCTCTGTATATTTTAATATTAATGACCTCGGCCGCAAAGCCGCCTCTAAGCTTCCAACAGGTGCCCCCAGCCCCACTCGAGTCTGAAAAACTGGGATCATTCAACGTCTCGCTAACCACCGCCGGTCAATAAAGACTGCACATGAAGAGGACTCCAAGAGAAGGGAAAAAGACATAAAGAGTGGAAGGGGAGTTACAGAGTCAGTCATCTCTTGCAAATAAGTTTTTGAGTCACTTTCCCCAGCTGAAACACGGGTCGATATTTTTCCCCCCTTGAGAAAGAGATTGACTTTTGTTTGGAGTTTGTGAGAAGTGGGAATCAGAAGCGGGACAATGGGACTCCCCATGGCGAGAGGCTGAGAGGAGCCATCTCAAATCAGTCAGCCAGGGGACTGACTAATCCGTCCATTGTACCTCCCCAGCCACCGGCCGCACATCAACACATTCGCCCCCAATTGTCCCCCACCCTCATGCAGCGGGATTTGCTCTGCCCAACAGCCAGTTTTGTCCACGGCAGTTCGAGCGGAAGTTTCTCACTGACAATTTGCCCCAAATAGATTTGTCAGAGCGTCCAACTGCACCGCACCGACTTGTGGGTTTCTGGGTTTGGGTCTTGGGTCTGTGTTTTTGGTGGTGGTGGTGGGTTGGGGGGGGGCATTTTCAGGGGGGCAGTTTTGGGAATAAGG